CCCCCACACACGGGTATATATATATATATATATATATATATATATATATATATATATATATATATATATATATATATGGTTTTAATGATGCTGCAGTGGTTTGGATCAATTATGCTACCCTTTATTTTCTCATAAATTAATATCATAAAAGTTAGATGAGCTGACCTAATTGGGTCATGTGCAGCTCAAGGGAAGGAATTAGACATAAAAAAATGTTTAAGGTAAGCCCGTTCATATTGATTTAGGTTTGTCTTTATTATATGGAAATGTGATCTCACTCAGTGGTTGAGGGATAAGAATACAGATGTTACTTGAGGGCATGTTATTCTGAAGACAGTATACCAGCTTTTATGAGATAGAGTTGGAGTTAGATTCAGTGTTAGCACGACCAAGTGAAATTCATCAAGTCAAGTCCCCCCTGTAAAAACATTTTCACAGGTCAATAACGAACTCACACCAGTCTGTTCAGACACACAATTAATCATGTGGTCTGTCACATGCTTGTGCATTTGAGGTTGTGTAGCTCCACTCAGGAACAAGGCAGAGGAGAAGGGGAAGAAAGGATGTGTTTCTAGTCCTGTGACTCCCCTCCTCCAGTCTTTTCCCCCCACGTGTGCGTTGAGGAAATGTGAGCCATGCTGCTTTTATCAGCCTCATTGTTTGTGTTCCTCAGGGACGGCGCTTCCTGATGGCAGCCAGAACGCTCCACATGTTCCCATTCTGATGTCCTTACATACACCACCATGCTGAAAAGCTCAAGAAATGTCTTGTGTTTTTCTCTTTTTTCCATTTTCCTTTTAACTTGGCCTACATATAAAGGTAGAGGGGGTGGATGAGAGCGTGAAAGCATGGAGGAATAGAAAAAGAGCTCAATATAGCACAATAGAGAGAGTGAGTCAGTGCAATACTGCTTTCTGACTTGTACAGGATGTATAAACAGGAACCGGACGGAAAGTCCACTGATGGATGTGAACTATCAGATTCACAGTTAGTATCTGATTCACAGACTCTAAAATCCCTCGAAACATTTTTTTCTTTAAGAGAAAATAAACAAAAAATTAAAATCTCTCTTGAAGGGAAAAGAACAATGGAAGTATCGGGTTGCACTTTGGTTCTTTGTACTCGAGTTGTCAAACCAGCTCAATCCTTAAGGCAGTATAACTCACGTGATGACATGGCTGTTAGTCAGACTCTGTTCTTCACAGATGTGTCTGTCCACCTGCTCGTACTGGGATGTTTACTATACGGCTTGGCACAGAAGCAGCGATCTTAAGTAAACACTCACAAAAATAGTTTGTGAGAGTGAATGGAAAGCTAGTGGGAGTGAGCAGTGATTTGAGATCTAACAATAGGAGCGTGCAGTCGATAGTAACCAAACATGTTTCATAGGTGGAATGCATCTGGACTACAAACATCCAACTACGCCCTGTGGGAGGCCTTCTGAATGCACATACTAATTTTACCCTGGAGGAAAGTGTGTTGTTAGTGTGTTTGTTTTTCTTGCAGACTCCATTTAATATTAATTATAAGCAGTCCTCTCAGGCTTTGATAAAAAGAGACATTTCTCACCATGGCAGATGGCAATCAAAGCGCTAATCAGATTGTATGCTGGTGCAGGTATCTATTTGACATGGCACAATCCCTCTTTCATCAATTAGCGCTGATTGAGGGGAGTTTTATATTAGGCTCTGTAAGCCCTGATATCTTGGCGGTGACAAATTTTAAATAGAAGCTTATGTACGTGTATGCTTATGATGTATATACTATACAAAGTGATTTTATGTAGTTAACTGCAGTTTTGAGTGAATATTTTGTCATCATTTAGTCAATGTTATACCAATCTATATGACTGACTTCTGCAGAACACAGATATTTGTGAAGAAAATTTGGACCGTTTTGTACATAAAATGAAAGTCATTGGGGTCTAGAACAGAATTTTCATTACAAAAATGTTCTTTATGTAAAAGCCACTTGTTTAATGTTTAACAGTACTTGTGGTATTAGCAATTTCAGATAAACCTGACCCTAAACAAGTAAAAACTCAACAAACGGTGGTTGGTTGCTTTTATATGTCATTCAAAAAAATCTGCAAAGTGTTAAAATGACACTATTTTTAGATGGGAAGTAGTAGTCATTATCTAATTTCTGACCTCTGACCATAAAAGTCTGCAAGTACTCTGTAAGTGAAATGACATTCTTTTGACCTGTTTATTATTTGTTTTATAATATTTGATTTCTAAATTTAGTAAAAATTGGTGGTAGTCACGTTAAGTGTGTCTGCAGTTAATATATATTTTAACCAGGAGGAGTTAAATCAACATACACTTAAAACATCAAAAAAAGATACTCACCATCAGCACTGAAGTGTGAGATAATTCACTTTAAAACTGTGTGCGTGTGTGTGGGAGAGAATGAGATTGAATTCTGCTGCTTGACTGGGAATCGCGCTGCATGTGTGTAAGGAGAGTTTCTATTTTTGTCACCATGACCTAGTATTTACAGTTGATTTCACTCTGCTGTGAATGCGCTTTCACTAATCTCCTTCTCTCTCTCTCTCTCTCTCCCTCCACAACAGATGACGGAAGGGCGGAGATGTCAGGTCCATCTCCTGGATGACAGGAAATTGGAGCTCCTGGTACAGGTAAGACAAAATACTCTTTTATTTACAACAATTCATGGTACAGCATGACCAAAATGTGATATTGTATGTTTTTAAGTGTATTGGTGAGAAAATTGATTCTGTTTGACTCACCAGCACAATGTCCAGTATTAGTGCAGAAATATTAAAGTTGAATAACTCTTGAAATATATAGGTGTGAAGTTTTGGTGCATGTTTTTGTCATAAAGGCCTCAGGTTTCCTCTTGGAAAGTCCCCTGAGACTTAATTAATGTCTTGTGGAAATAGGGGGCTATTTATCGGTCTGTGTGCATGTATGAGTTTAAATGTTTGCTCTGTGTGTGCAAATGTAATATGACTCCTTCTCCAATGCCCTTCTCCAATTTCACAGCCAAACAGACCCTGAGATCAGTTTGCCCTGACCTGAACTCTATCATATGTTTGTGCAAATGTCTCTCAAGTTTCTTTTAAACATCAGTACCACAATAGTCAATCTGGCAGGCTTAGGTTCCCATAACGACACCAAACCAGCAGCCTCTCAAGTCACCCACCCAACCACGCATACAGCGGTCCCCTCCTGCATAAAACACTCCATAAATCAGAACACAAACATCTTCTCTCAGGAAGAGTTCAGTTTCCATAGCAACCCTGTCTGTCTCCCATGCCCTATCAAGCCCTCAGACCTCAATATAAACAGAAGTGTCTCCTCAGCACAGCTTTGTTTCCTCAACGCTCACACTCATATGAACTTTCTCAGGAAATCTCTAATCATGAAGTAAACGCTGCCTGTGGCATCCTAGTTACTGAACACATGAAGAATAACGTTTTATAATACTGTTCTATTCTCTTCTGTCTTGTTCTATTGTCATGTTATATTCTATATTTATTCTAATTTTCCATTCTTATTTTCTGTCTGTTCTATTGTTTTATTATTTATTTTCTCTAATAGTATTTATTTATATATTGAATTAGCTTTTATTATTGTATTTTCATTTTAATTTAAGTTTTAGTAATTTTATGATGTGCTTGTGTCATTTTTATATATTTCTATATAGCTTAAATTTATTTTTGTTTGTTTTAGTTTTAGGGATTTTAGTACTTCGGCTTATTTTATTTCAATTAGTTGCCAAGACAGTATCTCAAATAATTAAGTTTTTAATCTAATATTTATATTTTGTTTCAGCTTATTTCAATTCTTTGAATTTTTTATAACACTCATTTGGTTCTTTTATGTCCTATTATATTATATTTTGCTTTGTTTTCTTCTGATTACTTTCTGTTATATTTTCTTCTGTTTTATTGCTATCTTTATTATTCTTTAATATTCTGTTCTGACCTGCTCGATTCAGTTCTATTTGTCTTTCTCTCTTTCATGCTCTCTCGCTCTCTCATGCCTGTCCGGTGTGGTTAGGTGACCTGATTCCTCTAGACTCCAATCCAGTTTAAACTCCATCATAGTTAGAGAAATGTAATTTCTGAGCCTCCTCCACCTCTCATTTTCCACACACTTTCTTTCTGTCCTCTAAAATGCTGGTTGAGTTGATTGTGGTTTGAAGTTTTGATCTGATAAACAGAGAAATCTAGAAAGGAGAGGAGGTGAGAGACTCCTTAACAATCAGGTAAAAGAATGAGAGAGGAATAGAATGGATTTCCAGGAAGAGATAAAAAAAGAAGGGATAAGGCAAAGGGGTACTCTACAGTTTATGATTTATTGAGCTGTTGCAGAAACACTTATTCCATAATCTTTATGCATTTGTCCTACTTTAGTCATGAGTCCTTAGATATATGTTCTTTTAGCCCGTTCTTTTTGCTTTCTGACTTCTCTTTTTCCTCCTTTCTCTCTTCCTCCATGTGGGCGGATGTTCTGGAGAAGGTTATGTAGGTTAATCATGCCTTTGAGAATTCTGCTGTTATTCCAAGTTATTTTTTTCTGCATGTTGCATTGAGGAACAGCTCTTCCCTCTTTCCCTTATTTTGATGTTAGGTTGATGTACCTAACAGGGCAATGCTACAGGATCTTCTGTGAATTTAAGTAACTGGTATACTAGATTTTATATTCTACTCACTTCCATTCATGTGCATTTGAAAGATCATGTACGCAAACATATGTGTTGAATTGTACATTTGGAGACATGCATAATTTGCTTGGCAAAAAGATGTTGGACCAAAAGGGATAACTAACTTCTTGATTAAAATGTAAATGGAGGAAACTCTAATTGTAGCAGTTTTGTATAGGCTTAATCTCTTTTTTAAGAAACTTAAATACAAACTTTAAGATGAGATGTTGTGGGGAAACAGGAGTAGATAGTATTTTTAAATTTACAGTAACAAATAAAAAAGCCTTTTACAACCTTAAAATCCAGTGTGAACACCCTTTAAGATGTAAAACACCTTACAGTATGCAGTGGTGAAATCATTGCCTGTTTTGGTTGTACTGATGGGTCTCTGTTGGATCTTTCTGTAGCCTCATTTATCTGCTTCCTCTTCCTCCTCACTTCTTCCTTGCCTCATTAGAGGCAATGTACCATTCTGAAGGTTATCATGGATGATCTTACACTGTGCGACTGGCAATAATTTTGTGAATGATTTTATAGTCCCATTAGAGACTGAACATTGCTGCCGTCTCATCATTTGAGGGCTTATTTGCATACAGTGCTGTTGAAAACATCTAATTTATATTGGCTTTAGTGGAGGTAAATTTTTGTTTCCTTTTTTATTTTCTGTTGGCAGTTAGTTTTGACATGACTGGTTTATAAAAAGGTAGACAGTCTTACAATACAAAGGTAGAAAGTCTTGTTAGGATTTTCCCCCAACTTGTATAATCTTGCTCTGTTTTTCAGCTGTCTAACTGCTCGTTAGCATCTCCCACCTGTCTCTCCACAGCAGGCTGTAATTTTGTGAGTGATGTGCGTTTAGCGTGTGTATTCGTCATTTTCCATGGTGAGTCAAAGCAGGTGCTGTTGGTTGGTGGTTCTCTTGTGTCCTAGCTCAGTCCTTCCTCGCAGCTGTAATTTACACTGTCTGTCAGGAGTTTGACAAGAGCATATTTGGTCTCTCTTGAAGAAGACAGACCTTTGAGTTTGAGGTAAGGGTGGGGGATATGGCAAAAATATCATACCACAATTGTTTTTTTCAGGTAAATAATGATTCACGATTTTATCATGATTCTTTGTCATGTTGATTTTACTATTTTGCAAGTTGTCTGAGCTGTATAGCCAAACTAATTTCCCTATTTTAAAAACAGAGCCTTATAAGGTAACAAAATGGGCGAAAGTGGACGAAGGTAAAAATATTTGTCATTATTTTATCCTTGTTATTAAAAAATAAGAACAAAGATACACATTACAAATACACAGAATATACAAATAAAACAAACAGTGCTTTATTTTTCAGATACAGTAGGTGTATTTAGCAGTAGCAATCAAGAAATTGAATTAACTAATACAAAAATAAAACACTATATACACTAAACACTTCACTGTATAAATTATACATTGATTCTTATTAAAGCAACTGTATTAAAGTTCTTCAGTCAAGAGCAGTGAGTGATTTTTCTCTTTGTTTTGTTGTTTTATTAAAATTTAAGGGATAGTTCACCCAAAAATTAAAATTCTGTCATCATTTACTGACTTTCAAGTTGTTTTAAACCTGAAGGAGTTGCTTTCTTCTGTTGAACATAAAAGTTATTTTGAAGAATGTGGGTAATGAAACAGTGACTTCTATAGTATTTTTTTCAAGTCAATGGGACCAGCAACTTTTTGGTTACCCAAATTCTTAAAAATATCTTCTTTTGTGTTGAGGAATCATTGAGGAATGTTTAACCGGCAAGGCTTTAAAGCACATGCAAATTATGTACTTTTGTGACTGCGAATTAGTGCAGTGTCCCGTGAGTGTAACTGTACCGCTGAGTTAACATGTGATGTGAAAGTATGTCGCGTTGTACAGTATATATTGAGACGGAGGAGCCAGAAATGCAACTGATTGTGGAGACATTTTAATCGCAGACGATCCAAAATTGTGATATCGCACACCCTTAGTTTGAGGGGCTAAATGATACACTTAAACTACTATAAGGTCTTAGTTTTAGACTTATTAGATTTCTCTTAGATACTAAGATTTCCATCAAAGCAATTACAGAATGTATTGCGATAAGCTTGGTTAAAAAATACATCCAAGATGGTAGACGAAACGAAAGAAATGTTAGCAAAAATGTGAGAATTTTATAACCATGTAACACCAAAAAAATCAATGAAGATTGTTTAGTCTATTTGAAAATTGCCTATTTTACACACTATTTGTGTTTGCTGTGTTTTTTATGTTTATTAGGGCACCATTTGTGTGTTTGTGATGTATATATTGGGCATTTCTAATCAACCACTTGTAAAGTGACATATCTAAAGGTAACTGCCTGTGTAGGCAATAGGCAACAAGGCAGCTCACTTTGTTTTTGAACAGACCCATTGTTTCCCACAATTGCACTTCCTTCATAAATGTATTTACACTGGCTCTGTGTCAGATAAAAAATGTAAATGTAAAAAAACATCTGTGTAAATGCACCTTCGTTATATAATTACATCTTCAGATTTGAATTCTGTTATTTTACAGTGTATAGGAGGCTTTAGAGAGAAGGACACTTTCTAGTCTGCATTCTTGATCGGATCAACATGTGTTTTAACAGTGATAAATCCTGAACAAAAACCCTATCGTTGCTTTGTGCTGAAGTCATTCCGTGTGATGAAAGCCGACTCGCATCTCTCATCTCTGTGATCTAGACCTGACAAGACCTGACGGCGTGTGTTCTTGTCATCGCTCTTCCATTCTGATCAGTCACCCACTGTTTAATGATATTAAATCACAACAGTCCGGATATCCTTCCTCACAGACACATATTCTTCCATCACATGCTCCTCCATGTGGAAACATATGTCTGTGATTTGAATCAACCTCAGTAAGTGTAATGGCAGAGAGGAGATGATAGGCATCCCACATTAAATTTGTTAAAACCATATATTGCGCTCATATTG